AACATGTCCCAAGAGGAGTGACTGAGGGAGGGCGTTGGGGTGTTTATTCTAGAGAAGAGGAAGGCCAGGGGAGACCTCATAGCTCTCTACAACTACCTGAAACAAGACTGTGGTGAGGTGAGGGTTGGTCTCTTCTGCCATATATCAAGTGAAAGGACAAGAAGAATGGCCTTAAGATGTACCAGGGGAGGTTCAGATTAGATATCAGAAAAAAAAAATCAGTAAATAAGTAGTTGGGCATTGGAATAAGTTACTCAGGGAGGTGGTGGAGACTCTAGAAGCATTCAAGAAGTGTCCTGATGTGGCACTTGGGGATAAGGAGTTTAAGGAGTACTGTTTTTTGTTTAAGGAGTATTATAGTGGTGCTGGGTTGATGGTGGGAATGGATAGCCCTAAGATTGGCTCATTTGGTTAGAGATGGGTGATAATAATGCCAAGTTTGGGGTCTCAATCCCTGCACTGGCCATTCACCTAACAGTGGGAATTAATGATCCTTGTGGGTCCCTTTCAGCTCAGAATATTCCATGAGTCTGTGAAGATCATCTTGAAAGTTTCTTTCAATGTTGCTGATTCTGTGTGTGAAAATACTAACCTAATGCAGGGCAAGAGGGGCTTTCTACAATTGCACAACAGAAATTGACTTTTAACCCCTCTCTGTTTCCTGCTTGGTCTTATTGCTCCAGTTTGCATAGTGTAAATGGACTTAGACTTATTTTTATGCAAGGATGAGCCAGTATGGTCCTAATATTTTATGCAGTTGTAATGTTATGTTTCACTGGCTTCATGGTGCAAAATGAGTGGACCATGAAGCAAGTGAAACCTTTGGACCTTTGGTGGACCAAAATGAATGCCATACTCAGGCCACTGGGTGAGTTTGCTTCCTGGCTGCAAGGGTGATAACACACAGTAAACATAGTTCTTTGTAAAACTTCAGGAAAATGAGAACTGCAGAAGAAATTTATTCTGAACTGCAGGACATAAAACAAATCAAAAGCAAATAGAATGAGTTCACCATGCCCACCAAGTAAACAAGAAAAATCCAGAGAATATTTTGAAATGAACATGCAGAAGATTAAGATTTGGGAAAAATAATAAATGTCTCCTAGTTGAGTAGCCCCAAAATGGTGCTTATTAAATTTCAAGACAGAATTTTTTTCCTATGTAGCTTATTGTCTTATGGTTTGCTCATGAAGGAGAAACTTGATTGATAACTATTTTCACTGAAAATTACTCAGAGTAACAAAATTAAATCACAAAAAATCACATCTATATTTTCAAATTTAAAGTCTCTTATTGATAGTAAAATTAAATTCTTAGGGCACTCCTGGCTCTGCTACATACCAGCTAAGTCAAAAATACAGTGTAGAGTCCCACCTGGATAGACAATGCGATAATTTCAGAGTAGTTTACGGTGAGAACTAATACTCACTGGAGGTTCCCAAAGATATGGTATTTGTCATGATACATGCCTTTTTAGTTACATTCTAATTGCATTCTCCTTGCAGTTTTTCACTAAAACTTTTAGTGTCTCTTTCTCCTTCTGACAAAGGTCCAAACCCGAAATATTGCACACATAGAAAATAGCACAATAAAATTACGTATTTAATGATTTTAGAGAACAAAATATGGGAATTTGTATTAAAAAGCTTCTAAGATGAAACCTAAAACTTCATGAGGCAGGCATAGGCATTGACTTTAACAGACACAGTATTTCAGTTCTGGAAAAGTGGAAGCAGTTGATGGGTTCTGGTCCACCTTGTGTAAAGACAAAGCTTAAAAATACCATTAAATTATCTACTGAGATATTTTGTATCATTTAGTCCAAGTACTTCAACAGTTTGGTTTTTGGTTTGGTTTGATTTCTTTTTTGTTTTGGGGGGGTTTTATGGTTTTTGGGTTGTTTTTTGTTTGTTTGTTTTTGTTATTGCTTTGGTTTTTATGAAGTCTTCTACTTACTAAATTACTAAACTATTGAACTAAAGTGAACGAGGTGGTTAGGGTTTTTTTTTTTAAAGGTAAATATTTCTCATTGTGCAGATTCTACAATATCTGAGTAAATTTAACCAGCACTTAGTTAGTCTTACTCTGAAAGTTACATTCCTGGCTTGTAGTGTTAAAAAAATTAACTTCACTTTGGCTCCACACCTTCTTCTGTCAGCTTACATACTTTACAGATCATGATTAGCCAGCCTTCTAACCTTCTTATTGTTGAGATAATTAGGTTCTGTTTCGTTAGACTCTTACTACAAAGCAGGCTTTCCAGACTATGATTCATCCTTGTTAGGATTTTCTCAACCTTCACTGTTTATCAATATCCTTTTAAAAGTGCAAACTCTGGAATAGGGTATGGAATTGTCACTGGAGTCACATTAACACAGTATTTTACTCCAAACTCTCATCTCATTTTTAAAAGAAGTATGTTTCATCATGGCCTTTATGTGAACTGAGAACTGGTTACTAATTTTGATTGTAATTTTTTTTTCTTGAGTTACAAAAAAGCAACTCTCATCTTAAAGTGTGATCTATATTTTCAGTTTTAACACAGTTATTCTATAGGGACATTGATGCACCAGAATGTTTCCTAACATCTATAGAAAGCTGGTTGTCACTGATATTTTTCACTAGAGATAGCATTTGCAAACTTTTCCTTCAATTTTTAAATTTTTTCATTGCAATCCTTACTAAAATCTTACATGCTTAACCACTGCTGATTTTTTCCAGAAGAAAAAGGGAAAAATAATTTAAAAAGCTGATACTTGTTTTGTGAAGATCTTCCCTAAGTTAACAATGTGATTTTCTGAACTGGAAACTAAGTGTTGGTTTTGCATACCCTCTTTTTCCATTGATGATCATTCAAAACAAGGTTCTTGCTTTCATCTGAAACCAGACCTAATTAAGGAGTCAAACTTCTGATCAATAACAGTACCACAATATCAGTATTTATATAGTGTAGTGTCTTTATTCTTCAAAATACTATTCAGAAAAAGATAATTGTAGGATGAATTTAATGGTTATTTTCATTTTGCATGTTTTTTGGATATATGCAAAAAGGATATACAGTGCAGTTTATTTCTGTGCAGTTTATTCTGGACAGTTGAAACCTTGCTGTACCCATGCAATTTTTGCAGATACCACAGCATCTAATCAACACAGCACAAGGCCTGAGGTGATATTTATAACTGTAGTGAGTCAAGAAAATCCATCTGCACACTCACAGTCTACATCCGTATTGCCATTTAGGTCTGTACATTTGCAAGGTGAACCCATGTATCTTCTGAATTAGGCATTGTACAGGTATAGTTTAATCAGACTCCTTGAGTTCTACAGTAGTTAATATGATTAATGACATTAAAAAAGCTTATACCTCACATAAACAGACAAAAACATTCAAAAGTAGGTCTAATTATTTCCTGTGCTATATAATCATCCCATTCTTATGGGTTTGTATGGTCAGATTTTGATTCAGATTAATACTTTTGGGATAATTTCATGTATCACTTACATAAACACAGAAAGTGAAGTTTTTCCTACATACCCATGGAAATCTTGATTTGGTCTTGACAAATGTGGTCAGTAACTTTCATTGATATGAAAGATTATGCTAACCAGAGGTTAGTAATCCATCCCTGCTTCTGTTGTCTTTTAGATTAGAAGGGGGCACATGGTACCTTGGAGTGAGTTCTTACAAGCTGAGTGAAATCTTTCCATTTTTAAACTGAAATTCAGACTGATGAGTTATTAATATTAGAAAGAATTATTTATAGCATAATTTAAGGATTACAGAAAATCCTGTGCCAAATGCTGTATAAGATACAAGTTTACCAGTATACATGTGGATCTTTAACTGTGCTTGAATAGCACAGGAAGGAGAGGAGAAATATCATAAATAAAATAAAGCAGAGAGAAATGAAATGAAGTGTCTAAGTACCTAAGGACATGTCACAGCTCACATTCATTCACAAGTCAGCTCTCTTCAAAAACTTTTAATCTACAGCTGCGATATTAAGGATCTAGATGTTCAAAACCAAATATAATAGCTCTGCAGGTAATTCCTTTGACAACTTGTGGTCTGTAAGACATTGCTCACAGTAAGACCTGTGGACTTCAAAAGAACACTAAAGCTGCAAGCTTCAAACAGCATGTAAGTTTTCTGAAAAAAATCATTCTTAGAAGCTGTTAGAAAATCTCGAGTTTTGGACTACAACAATAGACAATTAGAAGATCAGAAGTGTTGGAACTGTTTTCCTGTTTGCAAGATAATTACATAAAATGCAATCTCAGTAGTAGGTAGTAATATCTATTTCCAAATGCTTTTCTCACTGGGTTATATTGTTCATGCTTTTCCTAGACAAAATTATCCTGGGCTTTTCCTACCCAAAGTACAGTTTCAGCTGGAATGTGGAGAGTGCTTTCTTCCCAAACTAGCATCTATTGTACTGCAGTCTATTGAGAATATATTTTTGAAAGTCCACAGACTGATGAAAGCATTGAATCCAAGACTCACAACTTCTCTCACTGCACATTTTAGGAAAAAGAGATACTACATAGTGACCAGGCAATTCTGGAAGCCTTAATGTCTCTGATAGTGTTTTTATAAGAAGATATGGTTACACAAAAATATTCTTTGAAATTCTTCCAGTAGCAAGCCACTTCCCAGACCTGAGTGTGAGGTCCCTAAGATGTGAAAACACTGTCAAGTTATGTCTGTCAGCTGAGCCAGCTACTCATCAGCACACTGTTAGCCCATCCCAAATGCGGGGCAATTTTCTTCATACAGATTTTAAGTGTTTTACTTTGTAATTGAAAGAGCTAAAGGCATTTACAGACAAGCACTAGTGAAACTAGCTCCAGCTTTAGTGCCTACCTCTGACAGAGGTCATAATTCCCTGAAATTAAATTAGCAGAAGAGAAGTTTGCATATGTGTTAACCACTTATCATAAGGCAACAGACTGGACTAAATGAGCAGTGAATTGGAGTTTAAACTAACCTGTAGGAGAAAAGAAATATTTATTCTGCCACACTGACTGCAAAGGATGGTCTTCAGCAGCTGAAAAAGAGCAAACAAATTGGTATGAGAAATAATGTCTCAAACTGTGCTTGTTGGTACTGTTTGCAGAGCAAAAGAAAATCAGAGTGCTAACAGCTCAGACAATGTGATGTGGGTCATTAAGCCAAAGAAATTTGGTAACCTTTGTTTGTGTGCCCACAGATAATTCTCTGGGGATCTAGCTGAGTTTAGGAAGAGTCAGGTACAAGCTGTTCATGCAGAATCAGACCAGAGAGAAACTCCTACATCTAAATGGGAAGTACTTCATGAATTTAGGTACTTATAGTACAGGCACACTCTTCTGAGTAACAATTTTAAAGGAGTCTGACTTTCTCAGAAACACTGCTTCACTTTGTAAGCCATTTAAAAAAACAAATTACCTTAATTTCAGATATAAAAAGATGTAGGATTGGTTGACTGAAGAAGACCAGTTTGAAAAAATAACTGACATAAATTAACAAACATATCAAAATTACTGAAAGGGTTAATTTTTTTTATGTCCAAGACACTGCCAAATCTTGAGCTAAGAACAGGAAGTTTATTGGCAATTTTCTGAAAGAGGAGGAATCCAATGATAAAATGTGAGCCATTTGTCTTCCCAGCCATTAAAGGAAATTCACTTTAAGGATTTTTCTGGAGTAGTTGCTGCTGCTGGTGTGTCCATTATAATTTATCAGTGTGTCTGCTGGTAATATTATCATCAGTAGGAGCTCAGGTTAGCTTCCATTAGTGCTATCACAGTACTCATTGGCAAAATATGTCACTGAACTGGACAGGATCTGTCAAAAACTTTCAAAGCCTCATCTGCTGTGGATATTTTTTTCTGTTAATTATTTTCAACAATTATGTAAGATAATTCCTCAGGATGAGTTATCTAGGGTAAAGCAGCTACAACAAACATAATTAAGAAATAAAATTGTGTCAGTCATCACCATGTTCATTTAATTATAGGCCATATCCTTCTCAACCTTCATTTTCTGGTGTGATATTTAGAATATAAACTCTCTGGTAGAGATAATTTCCTCCTGATTTCCACTCAGATCTTAGCTTCTACTGGCATCTTTGGACACCATCACAGTACGCACGTCTAAAACCAATATACCTGTATGTAATAAATGTAACTAGGCACAGTTATTTAAGCACACGTTACATTAGTTTCATGGCTCTGTTGCTTGCTTTGACTTAAAGTTGAGTTAAATTCATGCCTAGTAATGGAAAGTGGAGGTTGACTGGTTTCTTTGTCTTACATAGCAGCACAAAGGAATTCCAGCCACTCCAGCCAGTAAGTCAGGTTCACTGGGAGCCCACCTTAAATGCCTCAATGTACACGTAAACAGCCTTGGAGCATAAAATAGGCGAGTTAGAGATGTGCCCACACCTTCAGTCTCATCAGCATTATGGAAACGTTGTGGGATAGCTCCTATGACTGAAGTATTGGAGTGGAAGAATCCAGGCTCTTTAGAAAGGACTGTAAGGGAAGACAAGGAGAATTCCTCTCTGTCAGTGACCACTTGGAGTTCATGGGGCTGTGCCTGGGGATGGATGAGGAGCTGACTGAGACATCACGGGTCAGGTTGAAAGGAAGGGCAGGGGCAGGTGGCATTATAGGAGGAGTCTGCTACAGGCCACCTGACCAGGAAGACTGAGTAGATGTGGCCTTTGTGGACAGCTAGGAGAGCCTCATGTTTGCAAGCTCTGGTTCTTGGCCACCCCAATATCTGTTGGAGGGACAAAGCAGCGGTCTCTTAGCAGCTCTTGATCACTCAGTGGAATCAAGAGACCTCAAAGCAGTATCATATTTTTTCATAACTAACAAAAGTAACAAAACATTTTGCATCTTTAAAAGTTCATTTACCAGGACCACAGGTGGAAAAAAATTAAGTTTTCCTCTTCACTTCAACTAAGTTAGTTAAGCTAGCAAAATGGGAAAGAAATGCTGTACTGTGGCAAATGCTGTCAGAGTGTGCATGAGTCTTCCTACACATTTTGAACAATTGTTGGTTCAAAATTTTAAAAAAAGTTTTTCTCCTGCTCTTTTGGATAGCAATATATATAGAGATGATTACTTACATAAATAATTTCTTAAACTTGGTTTTCTTGAAATATAAAACAACAGCTAGCATTGACACTGCTACTGCTGGTAACACAGTTACCACACTCAACATGGATTGGCATTTACAGTTTGGAAGAATACTGAATATGGTAATTCTGTATTGATACTGTGTGTTAGAAATTGGAATTATCATCAAATACTTTGAGGGAACTACAAAGAGAGACATGAACTAGCTCTTGGTGGACGACTTTGTTAGTCCTACTTAATGTGGAGACTGAAGTCAGCATAGCTGTGGTTTTAAGCATTTGTAGGAATAATTAAAAAAAAATAAAATGATCAAGTTGAAGACCTGAGTTACATGAAGTGATGTCTGACTTGATAAAGTCACAGAAATTTTTTTTTAAAATATGTTCACTTGCAAATTTGATTTGGAGGAATCAGGTTTTCAGATGGGAGCTGATACATTTGAGCAATGTTAGCAGCTCTTAAGGTGTATTCCAAAGGTCATTTCTAAGTGTTCTGTCTTACAAGATCTGATTGTTCAGGAGGTTATTACAGGTTCTGCCACTCTGTGAGGTGCTGCCATAGCACAGCAAGGTCAACAGAATGGCTAGCACATCTGCTCCTCAGTTTTCAGTTTACTATTATTCTGTTAACCCAGGCTAGCAATCTTTGTTATAAGTGGCAAGTTTTTGTTTTGTTTTGTTTTGTTTTTTTTTTAACAAAAGTTTACAGCAGTTTACCTGTATACATTGGGCTGTGACTGAATATGGCAAATATCTCCTATTTATAGATCCCTTTGGATTTGACTCAGTTTGCTGCAGGAACATTACATGGCAATGTAAGGGCATTGAAGGATATCTTCAGGCAGGAGTATCTCAATGCAAGCAATCATTGACTTTTTGCCAATGCCAGACATTGTAAGGATGTCAGAGGTGGAAGGGGCTTGAGCAGTGGACAGAGTATTCCTTTCTGGCAGGGCGGCTCCTTGGGCATTTGTGTCTGTCAGTGCAGATGACATAAACCCGAAGGTTGTGCTAGAGGCCAGCCAGATCCAGCTAGCACTCAAAATCTAATTTGCACGTTGAACATTGTGCATGGTATGGACGTGCCATGTGTGTCTACTGTTTGCCTCTACTGAGTAATTTCAGCCATAGGCAACTTTTCTGTTCTAAGCACAGACAAAATTACTGAAGATGATAACAGATTTGCTGGTTTGCCACAAGCTAACACATCTTCATGATTTTTTTTAATGGTTTGTGCTTTCTAATCGCTCTAATCCCAGCTGAGAACTCAGATTTGTAAATAGTGATATAAAAATAATCTTATTTAGGATCTGTGCTACATTTGTCAGTAGCTGACTAACCTAATAACACACAGTAAGCAATATATGTGAATCAATTGACCTAAAAATATTCAGACTTCCAGACAAAAGGCATATTCTTCTGTTAGGTTATACTTCCTTAGAGAATGGGGGAAAAAAAAACAAAAACCAAAAACCAAACTAATACATCTTACAGTAAACATTCAGTACTAGCCAGTAAACAAACTCCAGTTTACAAGAATCTTATGGCTTAATTACACATCTGAAGCATTGCAAAATACTTTAATTTGAACAGCCCTTCTACTGGGTTTCATTCAAACCTTTGTTAGAAAATAACCAATGGGAATCATATTAGCAAAGAAGCAAGAATGTCATAATCATCTACAAAATCATGTAGAGTTATCTGTTAAACTGATATTGGCATTATTAAAGTCAGTGTCAAGGGCAAGTTAATGAAAAACAGATTGGCATTTCATCTAGCACTGAAAAGAGGAAGAAAAAAATGGAAATATTTTAAGGGACTGTTATTTATTTTCTTTTTCCTCACATAGGCCACACGTTGGATTGAAAACCTGCTATTATTTTCTATGATAAAAGTATCTATAGCAAGTAGTCAAAATTGAGGTCCAATTTGCTTTGCATGGTCTAAGCCTAATGAAAAGGGTCTATACCAATCTCTATCCTAAAAACTCTGTGATCCAACAAGCTAATACTAAGAGTAGTGGAAAGATTCCCCTTGACTTTAGCACACATTAAATTGTTCCCTAAGTATGACTGGAATGTTCGATCATTTAACTGTGGATGCTTTGGTGGGCCTGTGAACATGGACAGAGAAAGAAGGCTTTCTTCCTCCTAAGTCATGTAAAATAACTTCAAATATTGTCACTTGTTCTTTTGTTATGGCTGTCAAGAATATAATAGTTCTGTGCACTCAAAAAAAAAAAAAAAGAAAAGGAAGGACAAGAATACACAAATTAGTATCTGTGATACACTATCATTCATTCTGGATATAATAAATTATTTTTCAGCAGCATATTTCAAACCCTTTGAAAAAGCTTTCAATATGGGAATCACTCAATTTATAAAAATTAAAAGCAGTGTTGATCAACTAATATTTGTGATAGGGATTTGGTGATACTGAAAAGAAATATGTACCCAAATCAACAGGTCTTTCATTTCACCTGATCAATCTAAGGTAATTGAATAATTATTGCTCAGGCAAAGCAAGTTTAGTCTTTTAATTTTCAGTTGTACTTTCTTCCTTTCTCAGAAGTTTCCAAAAGCTGAGCAAGAGGATTGAAAAAGGAAAACAAAAAGAAGATTGGTCAGATCCATTCAGTAGATACTGCTGTGGCTAATTACTGTCACAATCTGAATAACTAAAATTATAAAGTACTGTTTTTCTCTGACTTCTTCAGTAGCAACAAACTATGGTACTTTTTTTTTCCCCCCTTTCTTTAATTTTGGCTATGGGTGTCTACTAAATGGCCATCATACTTAAAATTAAGGAAGTTATAGAGAAGCATTCATGACTGTTACTATATTCCACATATATTTGCGATATTGCAGGCTTTCATTGCCAAGATATACCCATGGGAAATTTTGTGATGTCCTTCTCTTAGTGCTCCTGGAGTCCAGATTTAACCAATAAATATATTTCATCATTGAATCTCAAGCTTGAAGCAAATATGAATGACCTTTTTAGATGAGTAGATATTGAGAACTTCAATCTTTCTAATACCCCAGCATTTCAGATAAAAGCACAGTGCATGTCACTAAAACAGTGAGAAAAAATAAAATTCCATTTTTGTTGCCTAATCATTATCAGAGTGATGTGTTATATTTCTTTACAAAGTTAAAATGTTGCACTCTTTGAGCATGATCATTCAGAATATACAACTGAGTGTATGTGAAGAAATATTTACACTACATTAAAAATAAAATCCTCTGAAATACTTACATTTCTGTTCATAACACTTAGAAGCTTTCAAAAATTGTTTGACAAATATAGATGTTTTTCAGTGATGAAGGAATCTCATTTACTGCAATACTTCCCAATTACACAGAGTGTACAGGACATTGCTAATGTTTAGAATGTGCAGAAATTAAAAGCAAACACAAGACAGTTTCTATTCTCTCTGTTTTACAGCTATATCAGAAGATAAAATGCTGACTTTTCAATTAGCCAAATGGACTAGAGAATTCATAGCATGTTTATGATTCCTAGTTCAAAAATATCAACCTAAATTTGCCAGCAGCCTTGAGTCGGTGTGACTCCACCACCATGACACATGAGTTTACACAGAAACATATTTTTGAAGTCAAATGATTTCTTTAAGGTTATACCCTTGAAATAAATACTAAGTTTGTGAGTCATTGCATTATAGGCTAGGTCTTTAGAGCAAATAATTCTCTCTTGGTCAGATTGGTTCAACATAGGCTGGCTTGATATTGCCTGGTCCTCAAAATAATGAATAGAATAGTGTGAAAAGTAAAGGAAATTATTTGGAAAAAACTGAACCTAGTTATATTGCATCAGGGTAAAGAGCTCCCAGATCAAATATGAGATGCTATCTTAAGAACAAGCAGATTCTACCCTTAAAGATGTTCTATTACTGGGTTGGACAATCAGTAATGTGGACAAATATGCATGTATATAAACATGCATATCAGTAAATGATGGACACTCATGGTGGCTGTTCTTATTGTTCTTTCTCATATGAAGAAAATATCTAATATTTTTAGTCATATTATGATAGTAAATTCAAAGGAAAATAATATTTTGAATAGTTTTTATGTGAGATATTGTCATATATTTAAAAGCAATTATGTACATATTATAGATATGCAAGAGTGTTTGGGCATATAAACAAACGCAGAATTGCACCAGTTTTGTTTCAATTTTTGAATGTAAGATAATCTAACTATTCTTAATCTTAGTGTTGTGTCTGTATAAATTAATTTGATTACTCAGTAAGGGTAAGAAATGAATGCAGGAAATCAACCAGACAAAAAAAACAACTAATGTTTATTGTCTGTAAAGAGCGAGACTCTAAGAGTTACAATAATTTCACCCCAAACAGTGGGTATACATTTGCCTTTGATCACAAAGTGTAACTACAGCAAGGGCAGTAGTTTTCTTTGAGCTTTTAATTTTATTTTTATTTTGAATACTAATTGGCTGCATGATGGCTATTATTCTTCATTCTGAAATTATATTTTATACCCAGTATGAAATTTCAGGGATTCAAAAACTTGTCACCCCAGGTGTACAATACAGCATTTCTTTGTGAGGACATGGAACCTCTGTTTATGGATATGTTTAAGTGAGGGGGATAACTAAACTGGTTTCAGAAACTTTTTAGAAGGATTTCTGAGAATGACTTCAGAAATCTTTGAAATAAATTGTAGAATCCTGTAAGACATGGAATGTACCAAACTAAATTTCTCCTCATGCTTTACCCTGTCAGAACCAGACTGTGGGACTGGTGGTCCAATCTATGTGGAAAGAGCTGGTTTGAGATGCATTATTAGCAGGACATATAATCTTCTCCTAATTTAGCAGAAGCAGAGTTGTGTAACCAGCAGCAGCTGTTAAGAAAATCTAGCAATTAGTTTCTGAAACTTTCCTTCAGTAACAATTTCACAATGTTACACTAATGAATTTATATGCTAGAAAGAGAAATTAGAAGACACTCCAAAGAAATCTTTAACTAAAAATACTGCTAAATCTCTAAAAGCCTCTTAAAAGAGATCACATTTCCATACTTTTACAGTGCATGGTGAAACATCAGTCAGACGTGGCCTCAGTCCGGAAGGATTCTCTGCAAGATCAGAAGAAGGGTTAAGTACATGAAAATTGGAGCAATGATAGCTATGCACAAGTATGGTGCAGTATCTCTTTCTTGGTCATCGCAGAGACATTCCAAATCTCATAATTACACTAAGTGGAAACCTAAATAAACCCATCAACTTAAATTCCACATGATATTGAGTGTATAATGTATTTAATGTGAAAAATGACACTAGAATTTTCTGGAATTTAAGAGAGTAGGTTAGACAAGACAGCAAGATAAGCTTTATTGTCTATAGCACAAAATCTCAGTGTTGTATAAAACATCTGGAGAAGCCCCTATTCTTACAGAGCTAAAAACAAGTATTCAATGCCAATGATGAAATTATTATAGCTGTATCTACTATACATGTGGAAAAACTTTCACACCCTGCAGATGAAGTCACTATTATTATATCCTCTAGATATGTTAACAGTCTTATGTCAGTTAGAATTGCACTGTAGGTCTTAATAACATAGTAAATATTCTTGGCTGTAATGTAAGACTGATGATTGTCAGTACAAGATACTCCTCCTTTTATGTGGTATGTATTTCATCAATAGAGTTATGAGGACACATAATACCCTACGTGTGTGTCCTCCTAAATTATAAATGAATGCATAAATATGGTAGCTGAATACAATAAATAATCAGCAAAACACAGGAAAGGTGTAATAGTGTGCACCTCAGTAAGTGTTGAATTACTGACGAGTGAATTAATGTTTGTGGGTGAAGTTTTGAAGCTTCATGGGAAGACAAAGGAGATTTTATTGTTTGAAGAAGTCAAAAGTGCTTCAAAGGAACTTTCAATTTCTTTTAAAGTTTGGCTTCTATTACAAGAATATAATTAAATGTGAACAGATATAACTTTCTTTAAAGACAGAAGAGTGTACAATGAGGTGTTTAGTGAAAGGAGTGTATATCAGCACAAGAGATGAGTGGAAGGAAATATTTCCTGGCTACATCTCTATGAAAAAAAAAAAAAAAAAATTTGCATCAAGATGCTGCATTAATCTAAAAAAACAGAATGATTTTTCAGTTTGAAGCTGTTGATTTTTTTTCAGTCAAAGATCTGATGTAGTATAAAAACAAAACAAAACCTGCAGTCTTTACTGAACTTTTTGTTTGAACAACTTTCAGTTTCTTTAAAAAATCAAAGTATGAATATTTGATAAGCTTAAGTGACAAGAATATGTAGTGCATTCATGAAAGGAGAATTAAAGAAAATTCCTTTAATACCTTATGTAATAACTAGATCAGATTTTCTTACTTAAGACAGAAGAATTTATGTTGGGCATATTAACAGAAAAAAGGTATACATAAAATCAGGAAATGCCTTACTAGGTCATCCCAATAATCTCTGTGGCCAAATATTTATGTCTGACAGTAGCAAGAGGAAATCCCATTTAAAAATATGACCTTGGTCATTTGCTGTGTTTCACTGGCTTTTTACTTTCCCAAAATTTCTATCTGTTGTAATTGTCAATCTAGATAGGTCACTGTGGGTTGGTCCTTTCCATGTCTGTTTATTGATCTGTTGCACACAAATTTTTCTAGCCCCTTTATGACCCTACTGATAACATCTGTCACCACAGTGGCAATAAAATAAAATGGATGTTTTATTATAGTGAGAAAATGCCTAACAGAAAAGTCCCAGTACAGTCTTGGGAATATAGAATATACATAAATCACTTGGTAATCACATGTATTAAGCCTTACCTACAGTTCTCCTGTAGATGATGGGTCTAGTTACTCCTGTTCCATATTTTTCTTCCTTGGAATTTGAACATGCATCCTGTAAAATGCAGGAGGTTTATTGCAGTTCAACCTCTTGAAGTGATTTGGGATGTTACGGAAATAATAAATATACAAGTAAATATTAATTTAATTACAAACAATACTATTAATTAATAGTTAATTTAATTACAATTAAATATATAAGTAAAATATATCTCCTGTGTTTTCCTCTTTGGCAAACATGACCCTTTTGCTTTGGAAAAGGCTATTGGAGTATATTCAAGGTAATTTACTCACTAAGAGTTTAACTTAATGAGGCAAGAAAGAATAAAAGAAAAAAAAAACAAACCGGGACCTCAATTTTTGATTTGGACAGATTTTCTCTATAGAAGCAAAACAGACTTAAGATGAAAATTGGAACACAGCAGCAAAGCTATTACTAAAGCCATTTGTTGTTAGATGATGAAGAAAGGGGAATGAAATATGGTGTTGCTAATAGGAACATATTAAACAAATTTGTGACCTTTTTGTTAGCAAAATGAAATGTTCTTTTACCAAGAGCATTAGTTTAGTGTTAGTACTGTTTTCAGTGTGTGGTAATTGAACTGTGGAGGTTTAGAATATACACCTAAAGGATAAATTCTTCATATTTGCAAAAAAGTATGCATTAGAGAGAAGATGTAGGCCAAATCCCTAAGTCCTTACTTGGGCAAATCTCCTGTTTGTCTCAGTGGTATTGTTACTCTGATAGCTGTTGCATGCAGAGATTTTAATCTGATTAACAAGGTATGGAAATATACACCACAGTAAGGCAGGTAGACTGTCATACAGTTTCTGATTTCAGCACCAAAAATCAGGTTGGATAAGGGTTTCTATCAGTTGGTATTATGCTTTTACATTTTTATATAATTACGGGTGTAAATGGCAAGAACTCCAGAGGAGTTCCTTAAAGTGTAATAAGTTTTCTTCCATGCCAGTATTTCAGCAATGCCTCTGTTACCAATTAAAACAGAATGACTTAGCTTCAGTCAGACAGTAAGTGAATTAACCTGAACCTGTGGTCAAGTTCACATATCCCAGCCTAGACAGCAGCCAGTTTCTGTATTCCACGAATACTCATGCCTGTCACAAACTGTCTGCATCCAGTTTCTAAGGAAATTGGTGCGCAGACTGGCTCATTCCATATTTAACGCTAGCTTCAGCAGTAATTAAAAATTAGGAGAGATCTTCAGGAAATCAATTAATTATGCATGCAAAGTGCACCAACTAAATTTGGACGCACAATTAGATGAGTAATCATAGATTAAAAGGTTGAGAATGGCAGTTGCACACTTAAAAGGATGGTGGTGACCTATTCTATCCCAGGTGCCTGTGCTTTCCTTGTTTAGATCTACTAAGACTTGTTAGACAGATATTTGAAACACCTGTAAAAAAAAGATAATGGAAAAGGTCCAGAAACTTCAACAGTCAAGTCTCTTTGCTTACTTATTGGCAATATCCAAAATTTTGCAGACTTTCAATGTAAGTGTCTCCAGAAACTTGTGTTATGAATAAATCAGTATTACTGAAAAATGAACTTCTATTTGAGCTGGCATGCTGAGTTGTATTTATGTACATGAAACATGGGGGGAATGAAAAGTTACATCTGTCCTGAAATCATTATGGTATTTCAAAACCAGTTATTTAAACGGAAATTTCAACAAATTTAGGAATAAATTGTTACTTCCAAAGCTGCATGTTCTGCTCTATTTCCCAGGGAGACATCACAACATGTTGATCTCTGGTCATTTGACAACTGTAATAAGCTACTGCCTAACCATCTGACTAGCTCACCCCAGATTAATTCCAGTTTTATCTTTTCAGGGATCACTTAATCTTCTGATGGAAGTTCCCAGTACAGTTAAATTTGGTTTCCATGAATACTTCTGTTTTATAATATAATCAGTTCTTGCCAGTTCACACAGAGGCTTTTTGAACATTTTTTGTTTTGTTTCACTTTGTTGGTTTTTGTTTAATAAGCCCATAACCAGATCATGCAGCCACAGTGGAAGTGTGGCATTTCTCGCTGTTTAAGTGCAAGCATGAAGCGCACAACAGCTGTCATCGGCTGTTAAATGGTTTTCATTCAGCAGATTAAAGGTACAGAACGGGGGTTCCTCAGGTCACAGAGCAACTGAGTGATAGGAGTAATGGCTAGCACTCCCTTCTCCCACAGTGTGTTTCAGCTTTCCCTGCTTTTCTGTTGAAGAAATAGCTCTCTCATACAATCAACGAGAGAAAAAAAAAATAGTGTATGATTATTAAAAACACAAAACAAACAAAAAAACCCCCAAAAATCAAAACAAAACAAAAACCAAAAACTAATAAACTCATCCAAACAACAGAGCAGCAGATCAGGTTTCTGTGTTTTTTCTGGTAGTTTTTGTTTCACTGCTTTTGGAATCACCTGACATAACACCTGATGTGAGTGAAATACAGCCCTGAAGGCAGACCACGTATCTATTTAAGGAATAGTAAGTCATATATACCAAAATATGACAAACAACATCATATCCAAGTCAAATGCCTAACATCCAGGTAGGTAAAAGTGAAATTCTTAGTTTCACCATTTAGATATTATTATCTGTGGAAAGTATTCCCTATGAGAAATATCACTGTGATCAGGTTTGCCATTTTTATGGCCTTTCCCTCCCTCCCATCAAAAGGGAGAAATATTAAAGACATAGGCCAAATTCCCATGCTGTAATCTACAATGAGTGGTATTTGACTCTCAAAAGAATCTTTAGTAATCATATTCTCTTGAACGGATCCATTTGGAAATAAAATATCAGCCAAGTCAGTCAGAATCTTTCCTTCTCTTTAGAGAGAATAATGTTTCTCCAAAATCAGTGTTAACAAGATAGGAAAATTCCTTGGAGAAGCCCCTCCAAGGGCATCCTTCTTCTCTATCAGAAATATAACAAGTTAAACTGTATCTTGTCCATGAGGGAATTTCACAACCCTCCCAAGCGTGTAGAACAATAGAAAGCAGGAATAAATTGAATAGGACCATGAAGATGATATTTGAAGTTATTACAGGCAGGATATTCAGAATCAAAATGCAAAGGATATGATACAATACACTCAGTGAATAGTGCTTCCCTTGGTAAGTATTTCTATTCATCTCATTCTACTAAACGTATCAAATAATATCAAACTATGTCCAATTCATCCTCCATCTAGAAGCTGTGTACAGTGACTATAGTGACAATGTTGTGTTAATCTATTTTCCATACCATATATATCATACTTGTGATGTCTTGCAAATCTGACTGAAGACCCAAATCTGTCTCATTTATGTGCTGTGTTATTCTCCTCTACAATTTCCATGCAATACAGTTCTGTACAATCAGGCAGATAAAGATTATTCACTTAATACACTAATGCTTTCTTTAAGGACTTCCCATACACTGGAAAACATATTTTCATAAACTGAAAAAATGTTTTGAACACTTTGAGCATGCTGTAATCATTTTTTTTACTAGTAACTAGAGCAATGGCAGCAGAGAAAGTAGACCTCAGTATTTCCCTCTCCTGTATTTTATGTGACTAGAGGGTTCTAGCAATGCTACTTAAGCACTGCTTTTATCTACAGAAAACCTTTCAGCTGTGAGTGAGTGACAAGTGCCTTCATCTAGCACTTTTCTGAGATGTACATGTTTTTAATGTACTGACACCTCAGATGCACTACTAGTAAAAAAAGATACTTATGCTTCTGTCAAGGTTACAGAACAAAATAGTGTCAAGACCATAAGATGCAGAGATGAAATGAAAACTATTTCTAATAGAGATTTGATTGATTCAAACATTTTGTTACACCCTCAATCTTCAGAAAGGCATATTTTACAATTTTACAATTTTATAATCCAGTCTAAAAAAATTAACATCTGACTTAGGTAATTGTCATTAAAGTCCAGTACTGCAAGGATATTTATCATTTTGGAGTGAATGTTCAATACATGAATGATGACAGGAACAAGGTAACACCTAAAAATGTTCTGGTTGTACAGCAGAAATAAAAGACAAATATTAGCATAATGTGTACTTTAAAAATGTCATTTCAAAACCCTTGGGTTTTCCTAGGTGGTTCTAAACCCATTTCCCTGAAATTCACGAACAATATATACTCTGGCTTAATGTTGTAAATGAAATATCTGGCAACTACTATCAGTACCACCATCTGTCCCTGATATGTTACTCTTTGTAAATGAAGTTGTTGTTGCAGCACACTCTCCAATAATAAATGAACAAGAGTGCTAGACAGCCCTAGTGCAGCCCACAAGCCATTGTCTTAGCAGCACACTTAGAGCTCACTTCTTCATGTGTGTTAGCTTATGTACAACTATATTTATAGATATATTTATAGATGTATTTATGGATATATATGCCTTTCAGTGTTTAGAGCTGTTCAAATTTATATGACTAGAAGCTATACAGCATCTGAAGAGATGACAAAAAAGAAAAACAAAGATAAAACTAAAAAGCAGGGTACCAGGTGGCAGACTTGTGGTTGCATTTATCTTACAAATAATGTGTCAAACTTTTTTTCTGTAACAAGTACATTCTGTATTGTGTGTGTCCACTCAGTCATTGATGGAATTTGTGTGCTTTTCCAATTTCTCACAAGGACACTTTTTGATGCCATGATCACGGCTAAGAGCAGAAGTCACCTCAGTGCCTTGTGGACAGCAATTTCAGGAATAGCAAAATAAAAGATGTGTCCATTTGTGTTTGGTTGTTTTGGGAAGCACAGGTTTCTATTTTGTTGTGGTCTAAGTGACAGGCTTTCTGGATGAAGCCATTCACCACTCATTCTTCCTTCTTTCAAAAAGTTTGTGATAAAATTATGTTTAGTTTTTACATGCTCAATAGTTTTGTTTGCTTTTCATTGTAAAAGGATAATGAAAAGTATCACAAACTATTTTTATTTGCTATTTGGCAGCATTAAGAAACAAGATAGACCTTTCTGTTATACCTCACCAAGGACTGTATAATGACTCTTTGAAATAAAAATGAAGGA